CAATTCTCGTAACTATAGTAATGAAACTAATGATTGTTCTTGAGCACGAAGCTCTACATTATAATGAAACCCATTCCCTTATATAGATCTTCATACCTTATGAATCGACAAGTCGATTACCGTAAAGCCGATTTCGACAAGTCGGTTTCCTGATCACGTGATGTCCATCCTGTGACTTTGTAATGAGGCTACCGCTTATCTAACCTGTGCTCTCTAGCCGACCTGTGACTGCTGCTTACCCTGTGCCCACTGTAGGGTAGGTAACAACAAAAGATAGGTACCTATCTTTTAATCGCTGACTACTCATTTGATTACCGCTATCTTTAATTACCATTTAATTCGATTGTCCCTACAGCGCTGTTTCCGTAGGTCCCAACACCAAGGCCTTAGGTTTATCTTATAATCCATGTTGCGGTGCGGGTACCTCCGTAACAGCTTAGTGTGCGATAAGCCGGGGCCTAAACTCTTATAACAGAATTTAATAATATATAGAGCATATTGAGATACTTCTATAGTACGCGATAGTTATAAAAATCAATTTATTAGATTTTACACATACTAATAAGATTTAAATCTAATATAAAACTAACTCAACTAAATATTTCTACTTTCTTCGTTTTATTCTTTAATTTATATTCTAATCGTCTGAAACTTTAATAATAAAGACTAGATAGATTAGAAGATTAAAATACTTCAAGATTATATAATTGATTATTCTAAAGACATCTTATAAAGTACTTTTCGATAAAACTAAGAGATTAATAGTGAATAATATAAATAAAGTAATTTATAACTACTAAATGTATAAGTCTAGCTTATTATAAAATTTAGAGACTTAAATAAGAGAGTTAGTATTATTTATCTATAAAATATTCATGTAGAGCTTTATTCTATTCTTATAAAGTCTAGAGCTTACTTTATACTATATAATAATACTTACTACTATATATATATATTTTGAGACATAATTACGAAGTTCAGCTTACTAAATTTCTAATACTTTAAGACTACGAGCTGAAATGAGAATTGTTCTTATTTTCAGATATATATAAAGAACTAAAGAGTCTGATTATTACGATTACATACTAGAGTATATCGATAGAGATTAAACATTTAGAATAAGAAAGCTGAAGAGAAAAGAGATCCTTAAGAGATCTCTTTGTCTCTTATATAGTAACAATGACTTAGTTCACGCTATCTTGAACGAACTAAGGTATGTATGATGAGTAATCACAATGTCATGTGATATTTGTCACACTGATATGGTATTCAAAGTTTACTACCAACTTCCCCCTTTGTCCTGTTCTCTTGAGCTTTCCTTAATAAAGCATACAAAGTTTGCAGCCTTGGCATTTCCAGTCCATGACTCCTGGCAATTCGGATTGGATTTCCCAAAATAACTTCAAGCTCCATCGTCTTCCCCTGCTCCCAATCCAACAACATACTTGGCTTACTTCCACTAGTGTTCTTTTGTGTACTTTTCAACAACTGTTCAGAAGTTGCAAATTCTTGTGGTAGCGTAGTCCCCAATATCTTTGGGGCTGTCTCTAAAACTTCGTCCATGACACCTTTCAAATGAATGTAAAGCTCTGGATCAAGCGACATATCATTGTTTGTGCTCCCAGATGAAAGCACAGCGGAAGGATTCATACTCGCATTAATGGCGATTTTATGCCATCTGACCATTTGAAGTTTCCAATGTGAGTACTCCTGGGCATCCGAGATGCCGCCTGTTTGTAATAATCTCACAAACATGTTATTTCGTTGAACAGCGGTGTTTTGATCATCATTCAACTTTGTCGATTCAACAACACCCGGTAAATATGGGCCAATGCTTATTCGTGTCCATCTATTATGCTTAATAAACCCCGGGGAAGTCTGTTCGGCGCTCACAACAGTTACAGCGCTTAGTATGGTGGACCCAGAGAACCTTTTTGAATATGGTTCCTCCACACCAAGACCATTTTGGATCAAGACGATAGATGTATGACCTTTCTTCACAAGGCCTTCAAGAATCTCGGAATCATCACTAACATCTGGAAGCGCCTTTGTGCTTACGACAATAAAATCCCAGTCTTCGTTCGAATCTCGAGCTTCTTGTGGGTTGGCAAATATTTGATGTGGAATGAATTTGTAATCTCCAAATTTTGGTGATGTGACATGGAACCCATTAGCGGTGACAGCTTTGTAATTTGATCGACATATAACGGAGACTTGGGTGCCTTGAACCTGAGCAATTCGAGATCCGTAGAATGCACCAACTGCACCAGCACCGACAATGAGGAATTTCATAGTCATATTGATATTCTGTGATCGAATAGTATGGAAATTGTTGTTGTATCGTATTGTTGTGGATGTTGATCTGATCAAGGGAAGTAACCTCGGCACATACACGATTAGTTCATCAGTTCAGGTTCTGGTGGTTCACTAGTGTGTGCACGGACTCACGGGACACTCAAGAAATAAGTACAATTTCACACTCCAATTCATTAACTTTAAAGTTCAATCAAAATTCAATTTTATATTAAATATCTTTTAAACTAATACTATGTTTTAATTAAACATGAAAATATAATACATTTCAAAAAAAATGAAATTAAAGAAACTATAAATTTGAATTCGAAAAGTCTAATATTACATCCTCTTATTGAAATATTATAATAGGAAATTATATATTCAATTACAAAAGCTTCAACTTTTCATTTTTTTTAATTCAATCATTATACTATATAGAATCTTTATACTGATTACCCACATACTTCAATTAGAAGAATTTATTCAATATTAGAATTATAATCAAATTATTAAAATCATCTGTTTAGTGTAGTCAATATTGTCCTTTACTTATAAGCTTGTCCTGTGAGTCCGTACACCCACTAGTGGCTTGAGACGCCTGCTTACATAATTCGATTTCCTGTTTTAGGAATAGCAACAGTTGAAAATACAATTTATAGTAGATAGACACCCCATTGTCCACCAAAGAATTCGCACAACACGCACAACATGACTATTCCTTAATCGATCCTCTATTCACAAATTACTATACGATACCGAAAAAAATTGATTGCCCCATATTGCACAGACTGACTACATTGTTTTTTACCTCTAAATGTTCAATGCCCCTAAGCTCGTAGATGGGCTAATTTATCTAAATAAATCTTAGACTAACGTGTACGATTCATGACAACTGTCCTACGACCGGCGACCGAGAATATAGAATCAGTTGGCGGGCGAAGATCGCATACATGAATGCGACGATGCACAGAATATGGAGTGTGAAGTGCGGATCACACACAATACAAAGATTCTGAGTACCCGAACGAAACACTGGAAAATTTGATTTTCATATCATTCTTCGCGCCCGTTGAAAAGTTGAAAACGAGAAGACAGTGGCAGATGCTATCAATCCATCTGCCGAATGCAGTTGAATGATCAGAAGTGCCGACACCATTACTGGGGATAAATTAGATGTCTATAACTCGGCCTGCGACTTTTCGAGCTCCAAAACCTTCTGAACAGAAGGCCGATTCACCAGATCTTCCACAAGCGCTGTGTATTTCGGATACACTCTCTTCATATCCAAGCCATGTCCTTCTCCCCAACGATGAAACACGAAAAGATACGAATCGACGACTGTGAATGCACCTCCAATTGCGTAAAGGCCATTCAACTTTCCCTCAATCATATCAAAACAATTCTGGACATTTCCCATACTCTTTTTCTCAATACCCGACAATGCTGCTTTTTCATCACTCATTCTCTCCGGTCTTAGTAAGCCACCGAATGCATGAGCATGCAATGTTCCGCTCAGCCAATTCATCCATTCATACACTCTTATCGTTTCCATTGTTGTACGCCCTAAAAGATGCAGTTCGGGAGCAAATGAAGATACCGCTGTCGCGATAGCAGGAACCTCTGTAATATTTTCACCGTCAAGTGAGAGAACTGGAACACGCATCTTGGGATTTATGGAAGAGAAGTCTTGAGTAAATTCTACAGTTTCTTTCGTGATTAAGTTGGCGATTGATTCGAAAGAAACTCCAATTTCGAACAGAAGAACATGAGGGCATGAAGAGTAAGCGCCAGGTGCCCAATAGAATTTGATCTCATGTTGAGCCATAGCTTTGAGTGTTTGGAGATGCTTGTGAGGAATAGATGCTAATCCTGTAGACAAAAGATATTGATGTTTACTTTTTGCAAAAACCTGGAATTCTGCTCAAGGGCTGGAGAAAGAAGTCCCTTACGTCGTCTTGGTGTCACCTTACCCCGCTTTCAAGTTTACTGCGGGCTGCATAATATAAAAAATGACGATTAACATCAAAGTAGCTCACACTTCTTTATCAACACAGCGGAAGAATATTCGCAGTGTAGTCTGTGGTCAAGATTCTGCACGGCAGGCCTAGTGTGATTACCAGAGACAAGTACAAACAATTTTTCCTTTTTTACTTTGCTTGCTGGTAGTTTGGCTTGCCCATCCAAAGGATGTAAGGGGTGCACCGGGATGAAGAACTGCACAATAGACGTCTGCTCACTAATCTAAGGTAAAAACCACAGGAGCTATGCAAGGACATACAATTTCCTTTGATGAGTCGAGGACTTTGTTTCTCACGTCGCGTATTTCGTAGGTCAATATGTCCAATCTCTTGGTCATGAAAATGATATAATCTGCGACTTCTTAAAGTCACAAAGCAGTTTACCTGGTAGGATTGTAAGCACCACGCCAACCCGGGGTAACGACATTTGCATTTAAAACTTCGATTCGTTCTTTGCCATTGGTTTGCATGTAAAGTTGCGCGGATGGATACAGTTGTAGCGGCCAGAAACCCCAACGAGGAGATAGGAACGATGGCGCAGCCTTCCTCAAAAGAGCAATGAAACTAATTGTTGAACTCACCTTAACTCTTGCATTTGTGACTACGTGGAGGTAACAGGCAGTTCTTGTTCGAGTGCCGAACATTATTAGACCGCAATTCTGATACATAGGACGTAACACACATCGATCATTCATGAGCGATCGTCTCCAAAATTCCATGATCGACAAGGGCACTAATATCCTGTAACCGGCGCTTCAGATATGATCGATGTTGCTCTGGAATTTCAGAAGCTATTGTTGACATAGTCAATGGCCAGCAAAACAAAGTAGCCGTGCTCGCTTTAACCGCATTCCCTTGTCCCTTACGTATCATTTTCATACCTGTCCCCCCATGTTCAACCCATCCCAGAACAAACGGCAGACTCGCGCAGAAGTCTAGAGCTACCTTTTCCATGCTCAATCTAATGATATCTATATGGAATTTTGTGTCAGGATTTGCAGACTTCCCTTCGCTATAGCAGGCCTTGAGTATAATGTCATTTACGTGAAGTCGGATAGCACGGTATTGAGCCCACATTGCGGCATGGCCAATTGAGGGATATAGATGAACTATTTGATCAAAGATATCGTTTGAGCCAGGGTCGTCATCATCATCCACTATTACTCGAAAAGTACTCCAATAATCCATCATCGGCACCTCTTTAGTCCATTTGACCAATTTCGTTTCCAACAAATGTGCTCGTACCAATACGCCGCGCGTCATTACAGTCATTTACCTACATTCTTTTACAAAAACACGGTCTAGACCAACAGAAACATTCTTCACACAATACCTCAAATTGGCGACTTCAACTAAACACTGATCAAGATCCAGTGTAGGCAATAGTATTTCCCGTAATTCGTATACGGGTTGGTTTAACAGTACGTATCGTTTTTTTTTTTTCAAAATATATATATATACATAACATAGAATTCAATACTACTAAAGATATTTAATATTATTTAAAATTAAATACTATTAATAAAATACAAGAATACAAATCTCTAATTAATACAAAATAAATCGAAATATACGAATTCAAAGTTATCCCTAGATTTCAATAACATTAAATCCTATATTCAATTAAATTATCATTAATTGATAATAAACTATCAATATTATCAAATATTTTAATCTTTTTGATATCTTTAAATGTGAATATCAATATTATTACATTATTTTCACGAATTTAAATGTTTTAAGAGTATTTTTTTGTTATCTAGGCTTTATTGAGATTAGTTTTTATATTTCAGTTTTATCGTATATCTTCATACATATTCGTTTAAGTAATATATACAACAATGAGTTTATATTTCTCTAATATACACTATCTACCGTATCAAAAGCTTCATACACGCCACCGTTTTACTATAATATACTATTGCCTACACTATCAAGAACTAAGCTTGAGCTTATCTCTCCGAAGTCACTTCTATCCTTCAGCCAACTTGATATTGACATGCTTCTGAGCAGGTGTGAACGAATCAAGTTTCGCTCTGCAGCCTTGTCTAATTCCGAACCGGCGTTTTCATGAGAGGCACTGGAGTCCCTGACATGAATCGGAAGCATTGAATGACGCGATTGATATGACTCTTGCTGACGTTGCTGTCGTAATTTCAACAATGCAATCGCACCATCATGATGAGTAAGAGCCTTCGCAGCTATAATTTCGATGTCTTTAGTGACAAATTGAACCTTTCTGGTCACGGAATTCTCAAAGTGGCTTAAAAGAAAGACGCTAAGAATGACTTCATCCATTGCGACTCTATGCTTCTCAGCGCTAGGTTTGTCGCCACCAGGGCTTAGGAGTATATCGTACTCCCAATTGATAAAGCAGCAAGATTCTTTGTTGATCGCCCGAAAGTCGTGTGGGCAATCGCAAGACTAGCGAGTTGTAATGTGGAACCGGTAGATCTGGCATGAGATGCTTGTTCCGGTGATGTAATAGGCAAGAAGAAAGTCGGCGAACTGTTGACGATGCAAGGCTGGAAATTGAGGAGTGCTGAAAAGAACCAAGACAGCAATTCTTTTGACTGTCATGAGCATTATAAAGTTTCCGTGAGTCTCGAAAAATTGCCTTGTATAGTAGGCAATAGGTTGATCTTGCAGGGGTGTTGTGGCAGGAGATCGCGGCGATGAGAAGAGAACAATGACATATGGGATGCTTAGAACTTTAATTAAATTGGCTTCATCTATCGTCATGTTGACATATCTTGTCCGTTCTTCTGACGCGGGAGACTGGAATGGTAAATTTTGTTTTATTGACCGCTGCAGATTGGGACCTCGAGGTCGTTTTATTTTACCACTCGCTGCCTCGTTCTCGTCCAAGAACTCGTATTTTTGAATGCCATTACAGCCGTGACAATCAACTTTTGCTTTTGCACAACGATTGCAGGATGGCTTTGTTTCATCGCACTATGTTGTTTGTTGCAAGTCTCAAAACCAATGAACGATGATAAGATATACATAAGACATGCCAAATGCATCGTTCTAAAACTCTTCAGCTTCCGAGTTTTCCAATAGTACAGGATCCTAGGTCTGCCAGTGACGTACGATCTAGCTCCTGCTGATCACGTTCATCAGGCTATGAACTAATTGCCGAAAGTAGGAAAGCAGAGGGACATTATCATACCGTGTGCCACAATTGTATTCAAAATCACGCGGATCTTAGAAATATTGCATTATGGGTACCAATAAACAGATACTTATAGCTAAATAAACTAAATAAACGTAAACAATAAACAAAAGGATTGATACTGTTTTATCACTCGTCGACGAGATCAATTATTCCTATTCCAAATTCTAGTGGTACGTCCTCCTCGACCACGATTGTAGCCCCAACTAATTCCTCCGCCTCTGGGGCCGTTTGGCGGGTTCATATTGCCATTTCCAATGCCGTTGCCACGACCAGCACCACCAGTAGGTGTTCGAGAGATTGATGTTTCTGCAATTCTTCTTCCTTCCCCCCCTCCTCTTCCATAGATAGTTCTGGTTGGAGTTCGCTCACTTTCTGTCAACTCCAATGCAGGGACAGCTCCACCTCGACGAAGTTGTTCAACCTCAGTCTGACTGATTGGCTCTGCTGGTGACTCAGAATTTGTAGGCAATCTATGTGCTCCCAGCATCTTGTACTCGCTCCGAGGAGTAACTATAAAGCCAGAGGATTCGGATGGCCTGGATCGTGACGAACCAATATCGAGATTGGGAGTGGCAAAGTTCGTTCCAAGTTGAAGAGATGTAGAGGAGGGCATAGTTTGCCAATCTGTATCAAATGGAGCGTCTCCTTCGCGGTAAGGTCTGAATCCAGCAGGAACAGGGGAAGTGTCGATTATGGTATGGCCGGAGACGGGATCGGTGAAAGATATGTTTCCATCGTCTTGAAGAACGCCTGGAATGGGGTCACTCCATGGAACATAATACCAAGTACGCTGGATTGGAGGACTTGTGTCGATCTGATGAATTCAATCAGTATTTTTACGCTTGCAGCAATGGCAGGTTGATGTTGGACTAACCTCATGTTGACACCAAAAGTGACAGATTTTAGCTTTAGAATGCTGAGGAGGCATTTCATATTCATTGGCAGCATACACCTGATACCTATGATCGTGGTAAAAGCGATTGTATACTCGTGGGCCATTCTGATGTGGATCAACGGCTTCTTGCGGATAATAAATGATTTGAGCCCCTTGGTCTCCCTCGGGACAGTATTGACAAACGTAATCATAGCAGATATAGTTCGGAGCCTTGTAATCCGCTGTTGGACAGATGACAGTTGTGTGAACTGGTGCCAAGGGGATAGCTCTGCCTTCATGATTGATGATGTTCATCGTGTATTATTGTATGAAAGCTGAAAAGTATGCCTTGTGTGGGACAGCAGATGATTTAATCGGGCATCAAGAGGTTGTTAAGATTCACACAGCTATTGTCGAAGCTAAAGCTATAAGTTGGGGTTGAGGCGTGATGCGTGATGCGGCTCCCAGATCAATCGCTGTTTGATAAAACAAAAAATTAGGGTATTGTAAATATTGGAAGAAAGTATCATAAGCTGCCCAGAACAAAACTTGAGCAGCTCCAATAAGGAATGGGAAAGTACAGCTGCTCCGAGCAATATATTCTAGATAACTTGTAGGCCTTGAAAGATGGTAAAGACCTTTTTAGTTGTTGTGTAAAAAGAATAGAGGTTGAGATTTGAGGAAAGCATTCAAATTCTACACTCGGAAACATCCGAAAATTTGGATTTTTTGGATGGGTGTAAGATTAGCTTATCTAGTGCGAGATTTGGATGCCATTCTCTCATATTACATTAAGTCCTTTCTCTGCTTATCGATTGGTCTTGAAGATATCAACTCATGCCTGAAACAGCACTACCTATCACAAAATATGGGTGAATTAGGGCTTCCAGATTTACAAGTTTCACCGAGGACCCATATACCCAGATATCATAATCTTTCGTGGTCTGGCAACCACAGTGAGTCTTCTCGAAGATTCACCTAGGAGAAGCCCTGCGATTGAGTACAATCGCCTCGATGACTAGGGTAATTTCCACAGGACGAATCTGAGATCTTATATCTTGGATTGTTTGTTTTGATTTCGAGCTTCAATAAACTCCTTCGAGATATTCCACAATTCAAGACTCTGTTGAAATATATCATCATCTCTGATTAAAATCTTCCCATCTGAAGTAAGAAATCTCACTTCCTTGATTGACCGTGTACCCCAAATGAAGTCATTGCCTTTTATGAAATCAGCCATAGGTTTCAACCACTCTCTCAATAAGACCTTCTCGTTATCATTCAAGACATCTCCGTTCCCAAAGAACCACATCGACATGTCAGTCCCGTGAGTGGCTCCAACAATTTTAGGCAACCTTTTGTCCACACTTTCTGTTCTCCAATCAATTCTGTATCGATTGATACTTTGAATTGGGACATCAGAAGATATTGCGGCGAGGAAGCCGCGCATAGTGGAATGTATTTGCATGTCAGCATACAACTTACCAAAAATTTCAATCCAATATTCCTTCGGGTAATTTGCGGAAGTGTGGTGCGGTTTATATTTAGCGCAAACAGCCTTGACGATACTTCGTGGGTAGTCCCATGACAGACGGTCAATCAATCTCTCATACGAATGTGGCGGAAACACGTTTTTATAGAGCTGATGTTCTTGTGTAAGATCCCCGATGATGGTTTTGATACCAAGTTCTTTGAATCGTTTCCCAAACGTACCATCACAGATTCTAGTGAACAAATCATTCGAAATGAACTCTCCATCGAGAACCGGACGAATGAAAATTTGCTTCATTTTTCCAACAGCAACTATCAATTCATCAGAGCTTTTAGTGCGAAGGACTTCCACGGTCTCTCTCGCGCTCAAAGACCGAGATATCCCCAGAACAGAAAGTAAATCATCAAATTGTTCTTGGGCTTCAGAAATTCGTTTGGGCTCAACTCCACATCCATTAGACCATTGAATGATTCTACGAATGATTTGGCGTTTAGAATTTGGGCCGATGTCGTACGCAAGTTGATGGAATGTGGAATAAGAACCAGCCGACAAACCACCGACTGTGATATTTTCGTTATTGCCACCAAAGAACTCGATAGTTTCATATGTCCATTCAAGAGCGGCTCGTTGGTCCCAGAGTCCTAAGTTTCCGGCTGAAGTATCGTCCCAGAGTTCTCTACCGGCTAGAAAGCCAAAAACTCCGAGCCTATAATTGGGGCATACAATAATACATTTCACATCTGTCTCGGCCAATAACGAAGAAGGGTCGTCTGAGTTATTCGAGCCGTATTGAAGGAAACCACCATCTGAATCTCTTAGTCATAGATTATGAAATCGGTTTGGAGATACCACCTACGAATATAGTAGAACACTGGCCAACCACCTGATGGCGGTTCACCAAGTGGGATGTAGATGTTACATTGTAAACAATCCTCACTCGAGCTGCCAGGTGATATGAGTAGCGGAGATTGCGGGCAAGGAATCGAAGGCTTATTGTAAAGCGGGGGATTACTTTCGGAACCGTATGAGAAGTCGGAAGGGAGCGGAAACGGCTTTCGCCATCGTCTTTTACCTGTTGGTGGTAAAGCATATGGTACTCTTGAAAAGCGATAGCATTTTGATACGTTCGTAGTTTTGTCCTTAATTACAGGGCCTAATAGAGCTCCTTTACCAGGAAGCAATATACGAAGGGGTGAATACATGATTGGCCAAGAGAAACTGCAATACGGAGATGCAGTTGCTATGAGGAGTGAAGTTTGGTGATGGCTAGGTAGGTAGTTAAGTTGACGAGCACGTGCCGAGGTAAAGTTTAAGGTTACTCCATTTGTGGCACGGATAAACATCGGCCTAGGACAACGCCAGATTGGAATGCTTAACTTACCGTGTTAATTTGGCAAAAACATTTGAAAAGAGCCCCTTAAATCGTTAAGATCACTTGGAGTCTCGTGAACAGAATGACGGTTTGACAGCTTGATGATAATGAGCATTTTTCAAAGTTTGTTCCAGATTCGATCAGTAAATTTCCACTCGAGAATGCGGATGATTTTATCTGGCGTCAAGTGCAACAGTTGGGGTCTGATAAGATAAGATAAGATAAGATAAGATAAGATAAGATTTTTTGTTCTAAAGACAGAATGCCCGCACTAACCTTAACCTTAATTTTAACCGAATGCAAAAGGGAAGGGAAAAAAAGACTATATTTTCACGTTGTATTGGGCATTCAATCGCATCAATCTAACTCGAAGAAGATGAGATGTTGTAGGATGTACGAAAACTGGGTATTGCCTAGGAGAAACGGGCAAATAAATTCAAGTGAAGACCAAAATATGAGTCCTGGTATTCAAGTATATGGATGGATAGATACGATATCCAATGCTCGTGGTTGAAGTCGGCTGTTTCTCAAACCATCACGAGAAGTTCATTGCGGCGATAGAATTGAGTCTTCATGCAGTGCCGCTAGACTCAGCAATATGGTACTTCAATGGGGATATTCGAGAGATTCTACTGGTGAATCATTTGGATCATCCTGGAGGTTGTACCTTGAACCAATTTCTTGGTTGTTTGAGTGTAATTCTGACATACAGATAGTTTCTCACGCTTGGATATCTTTCCCCACTGTCTAGTTTTGAACCCAATGCTTAGTATTGAGGAGTTTTCTCAATCCCAGAGGGGCAGATGGTGCTGTCAATGTTCTAACCACGTCAAGTCAAATGCCACATAGCAGATTTAGTCATTTCTTCACATTATCAATCCATATTTCAACATCCATTGCTCGACAATGTTCTTTTTGTCCTCGCTCAACATTTTCCATCCATGATTTATTCAAGATGTTCAGAATAGAATTCATGTCGGCTGCAAAGTTAGTGACCTACTTTTGTGTTCTATAAGGGTCAGTGCATCTGGGATACATAGTTATGTCATGGTTGAACGAGGTTCAAACCAAAGAGACCATTCAAATCATCACCAAAGATCTCTTCTCCGACTTTACATAAGCTTTAGTCATACGAAACGACTAGTCACACGATTTGATGATCTCATAAGGTCAAAATGAGGATAAAGTCGGCCGCTAATTTGGTTCGATCCACTTGCTCCATCCGATTGAACATGTGGACGTACTTCAATCCCAAAATTTAGCTTGCTTGTCAAACTGCGTGCACCACAATGTTGTCCTATTGGGGTCAATAATGGCCTGGACATATTATTGGAATCTCACCTACATAATAGACAACTTCCCGTGTTAACCGGCCTAAAGCTACACAAAAACGGTGAAATATGCAGAAAATTGATGTTGAGTGTTCCTTGGCGCTCAAGTTTATCCTTTACACTATTGTGATCTGGAGCATTCTCTATATTGGCACTTATTTAAGTATTGAGAATAAACACCCTTCTATTCTCTCTTCTCTGTTCTTGGTCAATCGCTACATTTTGCATACCTTTCAGCTTTGAATTATTGGTTCCTCAACCAACAGGCGATTGCAAAATTAGGTTTCGATTCAATAATCTCACTCCAAATGAGGTGCTGATTGCGGAAGATACGGCCCATACCTCATCCGCAGACGAAGAGAACGGGCCTACGACAATAACCAATGTTCTTCCGGAAATTGAGAGCGAGATCATCAACAAAACGTTTCAGCATGGTGTCCAAGCTGCCGAGGCCATAAACCAAGTATGGACTAGAAACCATTTGATTCTGGCCTATACACTGTTAGTATAGCCCACCATTATGAAATCGCTTTCATGTGATCTTTGACTGACGGTGTTTCATCTGGAATCTGAATTATTAAGTTCTTGTTGACATTCGCGTCCGGGTTGACCAGCCCACTTACACCCTACGTAACTTCCTCTTTCCAGGTCCACTCCCTCACGGCAACAACTTCCATCATTTCGAGTCTCATAGCTGGCCTCATAAAACTACCATATGCTAAACTCATGGATATTTGGGATCATCCCCAAGCTTTCTGTGTCATGGTCGCTTCATTTACTCTTGGTATGGTTATGATGGCTGGATGTAATGAAGTTGAAACATACTGCGCAGCTCAAGTGTTCTATTATCTTGGTTACAACGGAATTGACTTCACGCTTACAATCTTCATCGCCGATACAACCCAACTAAAGAAACGAGCCTGGTGAATTGCATTCTCATCTTCACCATGGATTGCTACAATCTGGGCCTATGGACCTGCTGCTGAAAGTGTTTTGAACACGATAGGTTTTAGATGGGGTTTCGGTATATGGGCCATCATTTCCCCAATTATCTGTGTACCTTTGTTCGGACTTTTCTACTATCATCAAAAGAAGGCCGAAAAAACAAGGCTTGATTCAAAAGATTGATAGTGGACGAACTTGGACTGAATCATTCATCTATTGATGCAGGGAATCGATGTCATTGGTCTTTTGCTGATTGCTGCTGGTCTTTCTCTGTTTCTTCTAACATTCAGCTTGTACAGCTATCAGAAGGGCGAGTGGCAATCTCCGTTCGTTATTTGCTTCATTATTTTTGGGGCCTATTAATCATTGCGTTCGCTCTGTACGAAATGTACTTTGCACCAGTGACCTTCATTCCTTGGGGTTTGATGAAGGATCGAACAGTATTCCTCACCCCATACGATGGTTGCTAGTATTTACTGCGGTATGTACCTTTATTTGTCCCGAACTCGCTTCCTGGAATCAGAATGTTCAACCGCCCGACCATTGGAATCCTTCACAAGAAACAACAATTTAGCAAGATGCTGACTCCATTTAGCTTGGTACATCTGGGACTCATACTTTTATTCCATGCTTATCGTCGTATTCAATCAATCGGTTACGATTGCCCCCTACATCTCAAATATCTACACGATCGGGTCCTGCTTTTGGGCATTAGTCGTTGGAATCATCATCAGATTCAACGGACGCCTCAAGTGGCTGGCTCTTTACTTTGGTGTGCCTATTACTAGTCTCGCTGTCGGCCTCTTAATCAAGTTTCGTCAGCCCGATACCAATATTGGATATATTGTAATGTGTCAAATCTTTATTGCTTTCGGTGGTGGAACCTTGGTTATGTGCGAACAGATGACCGTCAGGGCCGTATCCTCTCCCCGCTATCCTTGCCATTGAAGCTATGATTGCCAGTATCGGTGGGGCCATCAGATCCACTATTGCAGCCGCATTTTGGACTTCCCTGTGAAGCTCGCCGAGCTTCTTCCTGCATCATCTCAAGCCGACCTCACATCAACATATGGTAGTTTAGTAGTGCAGTCGAGCTATCCACTAGGAAGTAACACAAGAAATGCTACAAATCTAGCCTATGGGGACACTCAAGACTGATGTTGATCTGTGCCACTCTTATTTCAACCATGCTCTGGAGAAATATCAACGTCAAGGATATGAATTAAATCCACGGCAGTAGTTGGTGAGGAACATAATTGAGGAGCAGTGTGAATGTTTCGAAGCAGATAGCGACACAATAGAGATTCTGGCACTTCTATTGGTCATCGTTTGAGGTTTAAGTTGGGCTATGAGGCATGTCAGATCTAGAAGACAATCATAAAAGATGATGAGAAAATTGCAATCTTAATTACTAATACGGCATAAAGCGACGATGATTGATTTAGTTCCTAATTTGAAGCAAGAGTCCGTAGCCTAGTGATACATTTTTTCTCGGGGTTTTCAATTGCTCGGGACAGATATCATATCTAGAAGCGGTTCTCGATTGGGTGTGCTTGACTTATCCGACATTTAGTCAAGCTGGTCACTAAAATAGCATGCGAACACAGGGAAAACTCGAAACCTCACACCATAATAACCTAAGATATATCGACGTTTCTATGATTCAAGCAACAATTTATCTCCTATTTTCTTCCTAGATTTGGAACCATGAATATTGTGAAGCAACTTCAACGCTCTTGGAGCTTTACTAAACATCGCCTTCGACCGGTCATAAACTACCAACCATCATTCTTCCCATGCTATGCATGACGTACGTTTGCCACAGCATGGAATACCTGAGGAACTATTAATTTCATGAATTGAGATATCGGGGAGTTTTATGGGACTTGCGAAGATCTCGTACTGGTCTGCAGTTTCTTTCGTTCGGTTGTTGACCTAAAGTCTAAGTTCAGTACCCCACTTTTCGGCCACCCCTCTTTTCGGCCACCTCATAAATCTCACCGCTCTAACCAACCACTTCTCTTCAATCTTTAATAATTCAACAACCACTGAATCAATTGATTCAAAAATTTGATATATTGTCAATTATATTATGGGCAATAGTTATATTGAAGATGATATTGCTATAGCACTTAGTGTTATAGTAGGAGGTATAATTATTAGAAAAGCTGGTTTGAATTATAGGATATTCTATATTACTTTTTAATGCTATATAAAAGGTTATCTTTTTTATTAAAAAGGTACTCAAAATATACAAAAGATAGTTTTGATATAGAAGAAAGTATTAGTTGAATGGATATTAGTTCAAAAGGTTTTAAATATTAGTCCTACATGTTACAACGGATTAGTAACAGGCTGTAGAATCACTGACTTATAGGCTATAATGATATTATAGGCCTCAGTGATTCAGCTGCAGTATACCGGGGGACACTAGGCACCCAAGGAAAGCCTCAGGCATGTATATAGTATTAGTTATAGAATACACTGAATCATAGGACATGGTTCCTAGGACAGTAGGGTCCTAAGAAGAATAAGCAATACAGGACACAGTAAG